AAAAGCGTTTTGATCAACATATCTTTTCTCATCACTTAATTGCCTTACCTTGCATATTGCATTTTACTTTACTTAGTGCATTCCTCACCGCAACAAGAATCTGAACTTTACCTTCACGACGCCTGCTAAGCTCTCTGTTTTCCTGCCCTTCTTGGTCGACGAGAGAGCCTGCAATTCCGACTTTGAAGATCCAATTATCAGGTACCTTTTGGAAATATTGGAATGAGAGGATAGAAAATGTACCAGTGGCATTATTTTCTCATTGCTTATTATCTTTATTATTGCCATTCTCATCTTTATCATTGAAGGTCTAGTCTTGTTTACTAGCTATTTAAGGAAAAAATAGCTTTCAGGCTGTAAATGAATTTCAGATAATTTCCTTCCTAATATTCCCTAAATTAGTCCTGGAGCTTGGAGTCCTAGAGAGACTAGTCACATCAGGTAACTATGACTTTCGTTTGTCTACAGAAGGCCTGGAGTTTTGTATGAATAATAGAATCATGACATTTGACTCCATATAGTAAGGAGATGCCCTTCTTACTTTTGTGTTCATAGGGGCGCGTGTTCCTCGGGTTAACAATCCTCTACAAACCACAATAACCATCTATGACAATCTAGTATTGATTTTCCCTATTACTACAACTTCTGGTGGTATCCCGAACTGGTTTAAAGTTACAAAAGTTTCTCATGGAAAGGGATATTAACCTGACAAACAGCTTACACGTATGAAAGCCATCAGGAAAGGAAAATACTAATGTGATTCTGAAGTGAGTGAAATAAATGAAGCAATTAAGAGTGAAGACTTATAGTTGCGTAAGAAAGTCTACTATCTAAACAATCATTCCTATTATTACTACAACCATCAATAATAACCACTATCACCACAGTCACTACACCACAACCACACCTAGATAATACACCACAGTCAGTACAATACCACAGACCCACATTACCACAGTCTATCACCTCCCTCCCCCCTCCCCACCATCCCAGACACACACCTTCCGTCGTAGTCCCACGCATAATCACCGAAGTCAGCAAAGGTCAAGAGAGGAGTGACGTCACTAAGAAGAAAGACATAACCCCTACACGAGAAGGAACTCCACAGCACCTTCTCAAAGTCCACTGGCCCAGCGACCTTCACCAACTTGAAGGGAAAGAGAGCTTGAGGAGTTGTTGTTGTTTTGTTGTATTTAGTTGTGGCGTTGTATGCTTACTTTATGGTGCTGTTGATGATGAAGTTATCGTCATTATCATTATCAGTATTGTTATCATTATTATCGATATTTTTATTATCTTTGTTTACTGTCATTGATATTATCATTATCATCACTATTACCATTGTTTTTGTTGTTTATATTATTATTATTGTTATTATCATGATCATTACTGTCATCATTGTTATCATTATCATAATCTTTATAATCATTATTATCATCATTATTATCATTATCATTATCAGTTATTATTGTTATCATCAATATTATTGTTGTTATCATCAATATTGTTATCATTATTATCATTACCATTATCATTTTGTTTTTTTTGTTAATAGTGTTAATATCATTGTTATTATTATCATTATCATTATCATCATTATTATTATCATCATTATTATTATTATCATTATTATTATTGTTATTATTATTATTATTATCATGATCATTATTTTTATTCTTACTATAACTATTATTATCCTCACCATCATCTTTACGGTTGCCGCTGTTATTATCAAACTTGTTGATATTCCCATTACTGTTACTGGCATTATAACCCTTCTGATATCGCCTTTATTATCATTCATTACTATTACAATCTTTACTCTTATTCTTATCATCACTATCATTATCATTACTACTGATATTATTTTTTAGCGTTATATGATACCTTAATAATTGACATTTCTTTTCGTTCATAATCTGTCCACACATTTTTTTTTTTTTATCTTTCAACATGGCAATATAGAACGGGAAGGTCAAGTATGTGAGATTAAAGAATTAAACGAAAACAAGTGATATGGTGAGATATGATTCATAGATAAGGAGACGACAATGATCTAAAAAGAGAAAATAATAATAAAACGAAAATTAAACAAGGAAAGAAAGAAAGAATCAACAACTAAAACTATCATAACTATCGATTGATTATTTTTTGATTCCGTGAGATTTGTTTTCGGTTTATCCTAAACAAAAAATGTCATTGGTTTGCACTTTAAGGATGATGATGATGATGATAATGATGATGTGGATGATGATGATGATGATGACAATGAGAAGGAGGAGGAGGAGGAGGAGGATAATGATGATGATGATGATGATGATGATGACAATGATGATGCGGATGAGGATGAGGATGATAATGATGATGCAGATGATGTTAATGATGTGGATGATGATGATGATGATAATGACGATGATGATGATGATGATGATGACAATGATGATGAGGATGAGGATGATAATGATGACGATGATGATGATGCGGATGGGGATGGTGATAA